AGAGAGAACACAAGCACACACACATACATACTCACAAGCGGAATCTGTCGTTTGGGAGACTGACTTTGTCACTGATAATGGAAATGGAAATACAGAAAACAATTATACCCCTGCATGGCTTCAGCCTTTACCTGATGAGCACGTTCATCTCCACCCATGTTATTCTCCATCGCCCTCTGAAATATTTATAATGCAAAAATGGGGTCTCGGAGCATGAAGCGTGTTGTACTCGCGGGCTGAAACCATGGGTGAACTCGAAGACTGCTCATCCGTGTTGCATTGCTTTTGTTTAATAAAAGGTACCCAGTACACCTGCCAGCTGGCAACACCACACTGATTTGCATTTTTATTTGATTTTAATGTATTCTTCGGAGGTGATGATTTCTAAATATAGAGTATCTCGATTATTTGCCCTGTTTGCTAGTAACAAGCAATGCAAGTTAATTCAGTTGCGTAGTTTGTTTTTAATAGATCAAAGAGAAATCTAGGGCTGTCTTACGTAATTAAGGAGATGCATTAAGAAGCACAAACCCCTGTGGGCTGTTGTTTTCAAATGATGCCCCACTGCTTCCACTGGTACATCACGATTAACGTTGTGCAGACATGCCCTTTTGTTCAGAGCATTAGACAGCAAGCAACAGTCTCAAGGACCAGAAACAAGATTTGGATATTTTTCATTTTTAAACCAAAGGCTGTTGATGTTTTCTGAAATAAAGAGCCAGAAGTCATGATAAAGGCATACTTGGCAAGGAACCGCAAAAGACATGCTTTCTTAATTATTTCCTTCTGCTGTGTGGAAATGCGGCTAATAATTACGCTTCTTAAAACTGCCTTATCTTATGAACACCTTGAAACTAGTTCCGTTTCTTATTCCTTGTCAATTACCTCATTACAAGCTGATGTACAACAAGCTATCAACTCTGAAGTAACACTGAATTCTACATGAACAATAAAGTTTATTATAATCTGATTTCTGTCAACGTTTTACAGACGTAAAAGATTTTCCTAAAATGAGATGTGGCAGGAATGAGAGAAGTGCGAGACAAGCCCCTGATCTACTTCTATCAAGCAGGTCAACACTGCAAAAACTAAGCCTAAAAAAACAAGTAAAATAAATAATAAAATGAGTAATATATTACTTAATATAAGAAAAATTATCTGCCAACAGAACAAGAAAAATTCACTTGCCAAGACCTTCTTAAAACAAGTAAATATATCTAGCCTAAAAATATCTACATATATCTTAAAACGAGTGTTTTTAAACCAAAAATAAGTACATTTGAATTGATGCAAGGAAGGAATATAATCTTATTATAAGGAAAATGTGCTTGAATTCAGCATATTCTACTGCTATTGTCCCAAAATTCTATTTTATGTTAGGCAACATTTCTTAAATCCAGTGCAGCTTCACTTTAAACAGGTATATTTGTCTAGATACAAGATAAGATTTAAGAATTATTTTCTTAATATGTAGAAAAATCTACTTAAATTCAGCATTCGGTGCTATTCTTAAAATAAGGCTAAATACCAAGAAACGTAACAAAACCTTCAAAAATCTTTAATCCTATCAAGATATAAACTTTGACTGCTTGCTTAAAGAAAAATGAGTCTCAAATGATTTCTTTTAATGTTTTTATTGTTTTCAAACTGCGTAGTAAAGGTCAGTCATCAGATATGTCTTTAGAAAAAAAGAGAACATTCTTTCACTGTAAAATACAACACAAGTGAAATTCTCATGACACTTTTGACTCAGCGAACAATTTTCAATAGGACTATAAGTATGAGGGGCCGCTAGGGACATTATTCAGAAATACCGTTTACTTACACATGTGAAACACTCTCACACACACAACTGAAACCAAAATAATTTACAAACATATCTAAAAATCTCTCATATACACATATGAAACGCTCTCACACACATGAAATCCAAAGTTATTCACACACACATGTGAAACGCACGCACTCACACCTGAAACGCTCTCACACACACATGAAATGCACTCACACCTGAAACTCTCTCACACATGAAACGCTCTCCCACAGATATGAAACGCTCTCACACACATGAAATGCACTCATATACACATGAAATGCAATTTCAGTATGTTGTGTGAGAGGGATTTCAGTTGAATCTGAAGGCATCTCGGTTGAAAAGGAAGTCGTTTAAAAAAAAAAAACTGCGAAGAAGCGCACATTTCTAAAAGGCGAGATGCCTTCCGTTTCAACTGAAATCCCTCTCACACAACATATTGAAATCGCATTTAATGTGTATATGAGTGCGTTTCATGTGTGTGTGTGTGTGAGGGCGTTTCAGGTGTATGCGAGTGCGTTTCAGGTGTGTGTGTGAGTACGTTTCACGTGTGTGAGTGCGTTTCATATGTGAATAACTTTGGATGTCATGTGTGTGAGAGCGTTTCATATGTGTATATGAGAGATTTTTACATATGTTTGTAAATTATTTTGGTTTCAGTTGTGTGTGTGAGAGTGTTTCACATGTGTAAGTGAACGGTATTTCTGAATATTGTCCCTAGCGGCCCCTCATATATAAGTGCCCTAATCACTTATGAACTTTTTCCAGTCGGCCATAGCCTTTTTGTATGAAGTAGTCATGTCACAGTCGTGAATGGCGTCCAAGAGGACTTCTGTCTGCACCACAGACAGGAGTGTTGCAATGCACTTAGGATAGGTGAGGTGAAAGGTGTAATAACATGCCATGAGATACATCACGCTTTCATGAATGTCCTCTTTTGGGAAGATGAGCACGGGCATGGTTCCAATGGCCAGTATACAGTTGGTTTCGCAGATGATGACAACAGGGCTGGAAAGTGGTCGTGTCTGAAGAAAGGTGTTTGGGTCTTCTGCAGACTGACACAAAAACAGACAAAGAAATCGTCACAAAAAGGGAAACAAATATGATCACAACATTTCACTCTTTGTATCGACATGAGAAAATTCTTATACATTTTCTTACCTCAAGGACGTGGAGCAGAGCCTCACTTGCGTGCCTTAACTTCTTGGGTGGGGCCATAGGTGATGGGAACATCTCTGGTAAAGCCTTCATCATGGCAATTGAGTGCTTTACTGTTGAAAAAAAAAGTGTCATTCCGTTTCCTGCAGTCAGTTAATAAACAGACATGGTCAGAGATAATAATCACCTTTGTCAAGCTGCGGAGGCCTCATGAGCTTTTTGAAAACTCCATAAAACTGTGCCCTCTCACAAAAGGTCCCCCACCGGGTCTTAAGTTCCGTTAAGAAGTGGGAGTTGCCTTGATTGAGGACCCGCCGTAGTTCATCCATTAGCTAAAACAACGAGAGAGAAAATATGTAGAAGAAATATTAAAATCTACATTCCAAGGGTTAGTAATTCGTCTGATAACTGAATTTCCAAAAAAAGATTAATATGTGTATAATGTGATTTAAATGGTCACTTAACAAAAATATGCACATAGAAACATGTGTTTTTCTGCAAATGTATGTCTTATGCACACACTATTTTTAAATACGTATTGTGGACCAATAATACTAACAAAATAATGTTGTGTGTATCAGAAGCACATTTGTGAAATTAGTTATTTTTAAATAAGTGGAGGGTTTTTATATATCTATGCAGAATACATATTTGTATTCAATAAGCATATTTGAGTCATTCATTTATAAATAATGAGACAGATCTGATTTAATTGTCACACCATTTCTCATTTCAAATTTGGTCTAACGTTATCTGAATTAGGAAGCATAGTTGTACAACATTTGCTTACATGATCCAGTTCTCCAAAGCAAGGATAAGCTTTAAGAATCTTGGAAGGCCTGTCCTGCTCCTTTGTAACATCAGAGTCAATGAAGGCCCTTCTCGCTTGGATTTCGAGGTCCAGGAGCTGAGCAACATCCATCTTGTTCGGTCTGGCCTTAGTTTTATACATCGCCTGTAGAGTCTTATAGTGTCTCGCCTGGGTCTGTGGGCTCTCAGTTTCTGATGCTAGAAAACATAAACCCCACTATTTTCATTTCTGATGTTAAAGTTGAAATGAGACATTAACACACAAACAGCCATAGTGACTGACACAGGGCAAACATAGATGAGTAATCTTGAATAAAAAAGGGTTCTAAAATAGCTTATTGATATTATTAAATTTTCTTGAAGAGATTTAACTATCTACTATTTCAATTTATGTACTTACCACATAACTGTTCAGCCTCCGGGGTGCTGCATCGAGATGGTGGTGATCTCTCCAAGATCAAGGTTGATGCGGTGGATTCATCAGTCTCATCAGTGTACGTCTCATGGCTGCTCTGAAAGCTTAAACTCCTAGGCCTCTTTCTTGAAGGAGTTGAACCCTGCTTCTTTTTGGGGGTTGTCACATTCTGGACCCTTTTCAAAAGCTGCTTTTTCACAGTTTCCTTACAAGACAGACATACAACAGGTTCTGTTATAACTCACATAAAACAAACTTGTATCAAACAAAATACACCATACAAGCAGTTGCACAGAGCTCTTATTGAACTGGATAAAACACATCACTCCCAGTTTGATAGGCAAATGATTGCAGTGCTTTGTCTGAACCATGAGTTGAAAACTTGAATAGTGACATACCCACTCAGCTCTACTGGTTTGAGATCTGTCCCGAAGCATTGGGTAGTACTCAATCAGACGCTTCGCCATTACAGTGAGTTCACGGCTGCATGGATAGTTAAAGTCATCCCCAGCTGCTCTTTTAATGGAAAGCATGCTTGTGACTGTATTCCTGATTAATCGACAGCGAAGATCTTTGGAAAGGACGTAGTCTCCTTCTTCTCCAGCACGCTGCTTTTCAGAAAAGGTGCTTCGTGATTGCTCCAATTCTGTGTCTGTGTATAAAACATACAGTGGACTGGGAAGCTGTACGGTTCTGCTGGCACCATGTTGGGGTTGTGGGCTTTGAGAGGAGAAGGAGGGTGGAGAAAAGACGGGGGATGGAGAGGGGTTGGGGCAGGAGGAGGAAGAGGAGGGAAACAAGGAAGGTTGGGGGGTAGGAATAGGGCTGAAATCACAAGTCCCATGGGAGGTACTCGGTCTACACAGGTCTGTCTCCTGGCCCTGTATAAAAGATGCATATATATATATAAAATGGTATTTACAATGAAAAGAGCACTACGCTGTGACAACAACAAAAATCAACACAACCAAAAAACTCCACTTCAAATAACTGCATGATGACTAGGAAAGGCTTACTTGGTAACCGGTTTAAAGTCCCTCAAATGTTAGAATCTGGAATTACCTCATTTTCATCATGATTGAGTCTCCAAATGGTTCTTCTTCTTCTGAAGTGCTCAGGCCCGGGAAGGAGATCACGCAAGTCCTCCTTAGAGAGGCTGGGCAGCATGTCTCTGCTTATATTAGCAGCTGAAAACACATTTAACCACACAGTTAATAATAAGGTAAAAAGCAACTAATAACATATTTATCTAAATACATAAAATGAAAGAGTAATGTACATTTCTGGCTGGCTTCACAAGATTTTCTTTAACATTAAAAAATGTATTGCACTTACTTATAATTGATTGAAAAAATTGCTGTTACAATAGGTTCATCCAGAGTTAAAGTTATTTTGGCCAAATGAAAAGGCACCAGGGAAATGAATAAACGAGGCATGTTGTTAGGATAAATCCATAACACAAATGTGTAAAATCTCATAGGCTATAAAAGTTATACATTTTCAGCATCTTTTATAGTACAATAAAACAAATCTTGATGTTTAAGAGCAAACACAGTTAAACTTATTTTCAAAACAGTGTCTTTACCTTGAAATCTTTATTCAAATAAGCATAATTTACGTCCCAAGCCTGCTTATATCCAAAGGACAGTGTAGTTTCAATAGCCTGCACTGCACTATCATACAACAACGCATTTGTAAATGCTGTCTACAACAAAGAAGGGCGCCAAAGATGGCTATGCTAGTGTACAACAAAGAAGGGCGCCAAAGATGGCTATGCTAAATACTTTACTGTCAGTTGTGGAAGGCTCATTTGCTTCTTGACATTATTTCTGGCAATAAAACAGTATCAACTAAAATGTTAACCACGATTTGTCGATTGTGCCGTTATTAACAGCTTACAGTAGATATTAGCTAAGTTAACTAGATATGTAGCCAGCCTAGCTAAGTCCAACCGATTCAAATAATGTAAAGCTTGCTGGAGAGGTGCAGTATAAAATACAAAATTACATTACCTTTTAATGCTGCAGTTGCTATAGGATCCAAGCATGTGATATCTCTTCCATTTTCATCCATGGCGTAGTTTTAATGTTCAATCACTTGCAGAGGTTCAGTCTTCTGCCTGAAGGAAAGCTAGCCAGCAACGTCCTGAAGCTAGGTGCACCTGACCTAACACACGCCCTTAACGGACCCTCTTCGCGGTTCCCATTGGAAGGTACCATTTCTTAAAGAGGGGTGACAGAGATATTTTATATGTTGCAAATATTAGGAATATTAATAACTGATGCGGTCATAGGTAACATTTCAAACATCTGTTTCTAGATGCACATCATTCCACAAGTTATTCCCCGGCATTATTATGACGTGTATATATATATATAGGAAGACGACTCACCGGCCTCCCCCATACAGCTAGAGAATGTGATAAACCCACTTCATTAGTTATTTTCCCCAACGTGTACATGGCCTGCTGCAGAAACGTTTTAATATAGTTAACTTTTGGAAGATTTCACGATGCTTTGGCGGTGCGTTATCTGCTGCGTTTTTATAACTTTTTCACTGAAATTATTATTGAGCCATATTAATCGACTGCACAGTCGCAGCTCTGACTTCAGGTTGCTCTGTGGCATTGATGGATGCACTGAGGAATATAGAGTGTACAACTCATTCTACCATCATGTAAAGAGAAGACACTTTCAACATCTTCTTGAAGACACCAGACCTGGCGACGCCACACGTGGAGATGAAAACCGACAGGAGGAAACCCAAGGACCGCAGCAAAAAGTAAGTAACGTCTGCTAATTCAGCTAAGATTGTTAGCTACAGTGTTTGGGCCACGTGGCCACTCGGATACAGGGTTAGTTTCGTACATTTTGTGATGCTACAGATAGCATTAGCCAATACTGATCAGCCACATTTAGTTATTATAAATCCATTAGCATTAACTAATGAATCTGCTAGGCTACAAGCAGGCGGCATCTGTCAACCATATATTTTTAATTCAGCAGTTAGCTATGTAGTGTTTTTGTGGGGATGAAAAAACCGTTAAAAATATGCATTACGTTGGTGTTCGGCCACAGTTACTAAAACAGTAAATCACAAAAATTATGGTTTTCCACTTTTTCACAATATTCTGCAAGGTGCATGCATCACTGTCAGGATCTGCACATGATTTGTTGAATTCACAGTTTTAGCAAATCAGAAATAAATCTCAAATTCTTTACCCACTATTAAACTTAAAACAAAAATAAATAGATTTTCAGATTTGATTAGAAAAAAAAGTTTCATGGTTTTGTTTTCTGGACTGAAAAAATGTAATAAAGAGTGTTACCCAGACAATGGATAAAGTGCTACGGCTTACAGTTAATAATTGTTGCTGAAATAACTCTTGCCCCCAAAGTTTGTTTAATGTGAAAATAATCTTAGATAGAAAGGAATTACATATTTAAATTGCTCTTTTAGTGAAGCTAATTTTTTAATTTTTTACAATTTCAAACAATCTTGTTTCTTTGATATGTTGTACACAGGACAACATTCAACCCGATCAGCTTCCAGCCGACTCCAGCAGCGAGGATCAGAACCTTCACACACCTGACTCAGTTGAAGAGCAAATGGGCATCGACCAAGATGGAGCTGTCACAGTGCACCAAGTATGTTTTCTTTGTTGTTGACTATCTACTGAAAATTAAGGGCTGCTAAATAAAGGTCAGGCCGATATAGTAGTGGCTAATATTGGCCTAGCATATAATTTATATATCAATATTATGTTGAAATATTTCATTTAAATTCACCAAATGATTCATAAAACCTAGAGGTATATGTGAAGATGTATTTCTATGTGCTGTACTAGCAAAACTAAATGAACACATAAAGAGTTAGAATGGCTTATTGTCTTGTTGGAGTACTAATGTTTGATATGTTTTGGTCAGAGTTACAAAATATTAAATTATCTATCTTTGCTCACCACATGTCACCAGTTTTTTTATCATCAGATGTGCATACATTTAAAGATTATATATTTCTGTCACATTGAGTAATGTTATACCTGCAAATGTCAAGTTACTACATTTTGTATTGTAGGATCTGACAACACATGCCACTGCCTTTGTTATCAATGCCCGATCCAAGCATCGTCTGTCACAGGTAAAATGCTTCCTATGTAACCTTTTTGGACTAAAAGCATTATGCCATGTGTGATCTGCTTCTCAGAACATATTAACAGGAAATATTTTGTGTGCGACAAAGAAATGCAAATGAGCATTTATTATCCAGAAATTCAAGCCATTCACTCTGACTAACCCAGTAAGGGATTTCCCATATTTTATTACAATTTATAACCAGACACAGTGTAGCCATATATTAAGTTAGACCTAGTTGTTCTTTGAGAACAGAGCACAGTATTTGGCTACCTACTGTACACAGTTAGCAGTTAATAGTGGTTCACTGATGGCCGAGTTCAGTTTTAGTGCTTTGTTATCCACTTTACTGTTGTGTCTATGTCATAAGCAAAACTGTATATCACATAAAGCTACAGTGATCATGATAATGTTTACCAACATCAAAGATTGATCACATCGCTTTCAATCTCTCATTTTCAGAAAGGCATGAATGACATTGTTGCTGGGGTACAGCAGTATCAATCATCACTATTGGACAACCTCAGGACGCAGATGAAGGAAGTTCTAAAGAAGAATTCAGGAAGTACAACCAATCAACTTGGAAAAGATGCAATGGATATATTTGACAGTTTCATTGACCCCTTTGCTAACGTTTCAACAACATTTCGCCAGAACAGTGTTATTAGGAAGCAGTTTTGTTGTGTGGATGCAGAGGAAATTCCAATTGCTCGAACCATATACAGGAAGAAACGTGGAGGATCAACAGATTTTGTCATCAAAGACAAATTATTTTATTATGTACCATTAGTCAAAAGTGTAGAGCAGTTCCTATTACATCCGAGGATTTTGACTATGATTGAAGAGGTACCCCAGAGGTGCAGTGAAGGTTTTTTTCATGACCTTGTTGATGGTTCTCTTTTAAAATCTCATCCCTTATTTTCAGAGAAACCAAATGCACTGCAGATTATTCTGTATACAGACGAAATAGAGATCTGTAATCCACTAGGATCCTTTTCATCAAAGAACAAGTTGTTAATGGTGTACTACACCCTAGGAAATATAAATCCAAATTACAGGTCTAAGCTGGCTGCTATTAGGCTACTTGCGATGGCTAAATCAGCAGACCTCCGTCAATCTGGTGTAGATGTAATATTGAATAGAATAAAGGAAGACATGGATGCATTGTACAGTGGTGTTAAAATTCAAACTATTAACGGGGAGAAAACAATACATGGTGCTATGGTTTCTCTCTGGTGACACCCTGGCACAGCATGAACTCGCAGGGTTCAAAGAAGGAGTGGGCTTTGCTTACTGTGAGTGTTCTTTTGAGGACATGCAGTCACAATTCAACGAGGATGCATATATTAAAAGAACATTGGAGAATCATGTCAGACAGTGTGATGAAATAGAAAAGGCTAACACAGACTTGCTTCGCAACAGCCTTAGAACAACATATGGGATCAATCGAAGGAGCAAGTTAGTTGACTTCTCATCCTTTGATATTATTCGGCAAACCCCGCAAGACATTATGCATGTCATTCTTGAGGGTATAGCTTCTCTGGAAATTAAATGTGTTTTGAATCATCTTGTTCAGTCAGGAGAGTTAAATCTGGACTCTGTGAATTCAGCTATTCTTGGTTTCCCTTATTCGCCTCTAGATGTTAGAGATCGACCATCCCCAATTTCTCCGAGTACACTGATGTCAACTGATGGTAAACTAAGGCAGTCATCAGGGCAAATGCTTGTCCTGTTGAGGATATTGCCATTTGTTTTGGAACATTTGAAAGTCAATGCAGTTGATAATGGACTTAATAGAGATTGTTCAAATAGTGTTTGCACCTGTTCTTACCATTGCAACTGTGTCAAGGTTAAAGTTACTGATTGAAAGTCATTTGAAGCATTGGAAGGAGCTTTTTCCAGACCACAATGTTACACCTAAGCAGCATTACATGATACATTTGCCATCACAGATAGAATCATTGGGTCCCATGGTCAGACATATGTGTATGCGGTTCGAGTCTAAGCATTGTTTATTTAAGCAATGGGCCTCCAAGCTCAATTTTAAAAATGTATGCAAGTCTTTGATTAATCAGAACCAAATATATGAAAGCTGCCAAAATGTTGACCCTTCCAAGCACCCAATTTTTTCAAATGAAAAGGAGATGGGTCCTGTATCTGAGGTTAGAGATCTACAATATTTACATGGGAAATTGAGGGACTTCCTAGGTTTTAGTGAAATTAACCATGCTGTATCAGTGAAATGGCTTGTGATAAATGGTAATAAATACATTACTGAGAAGTCCTTGATCCTTGCCAATGTACTAAATGGTAATACACCCGAATTTGGACTTGTCAAAAGCATATTTCTTGTTGATTCTAAGCTTTATTGTTTGGAATATCAGCCTTTTCAGTCCATATGCTTTGATAGAAATGTTATGGCTTATCAAGTTGAGGTCCCACACCTTGCACAGGCCACTGAGTTAGTGGATGCTGAAAAGCTGGTTGATTTTACCTCTTATTACACAATCAGCAGAAAGGGCCAAACCTATGTACAAGTGAAATACTATCTTGGGGATGTAATGGAATTGCACAACAGTTCAAATGACTCATAGTGTGTTTCTTTGATATGATGATGTTGAAACATTTAAAGCAAACTTAGCAGGTTTAAATGTAGGACTAAGGTCCTGACTTAGGATATGTTATTAGCAGATTCAAATGTTAGCTGTTTGGATTCCAGATGCGTTTTGCATTATAGTTTGCAGTGTACCTAAATCATCTGTATCTTTGTATAATACTGGGTCTTTCTTTCAGGTTGTTTTAAATGTTAATTACATAACATGTTATCAGCCATTTAGGTGTTTATCACAATGCTGTTTATGTTTGCTAAATGCCCTTGGCCTGAATAATGTTACCTACTTTAACTTTTCAAATGAGATGTTTGCACATATTGCTCAATCACTTTAGCTTGCTGAAGAATAATACATGCTGAAAAGAATGTTCTTAATGCAGTAGTTTGACTTGGCTGGTGCTGTTATTTCTGTATACTGCATTTCATATATGGACATACTTAATTGATGTACTGGGTTTTAGAGCGACAATAAAACAATGAATTTCATTTGGTCCTTATCTGTTTTTAATATGTTAAGAGATGAAAAAGGATAGGATGCTTGCAATAAGATATTCTGACTTTGAAAAAGCAGTTTTCTACTTATCAGTGTTGATCTAATATCTTTAGAATTATGGTATTTCTCAATTTAAACATTAATTTACTCAGAATCAGTATTAAAATCTCAAAAACAAGTAATAAAACCTCATTAAGATAATGAAGTAAAAAAACACTTAATGGAAGTGAAATTCACTACAGCAAAAACTTCTTTGTAAGAGGAAATATCTTGGCAGACAAAATATAAGCATATTTTGTCTTGATTTAAGATATTTCATCTTAGTAAGATTTCAGTTTTTGCAGTGAAGTGGGGCCCTGTTGGTTAATCCCCACAGGAGCTCAGATGATGGTTCAATTATAACCAGAAACTGACACTCGACTCTCGCTCCCTGTCCCCTCTGTCTACTTTATGGCTTAGTTTGGCTGGTTCAAAACTGTGGGCTGAACAAATACTGTGTTTTCATGAAACAAAACAGTCTCCACAATGGCAAGCTGTTATTTTGGCAAATAAATAAAAACAGGATGCGTGACATGAAAACGCTTAATTTATAGATCCCATTCAGCATTTGTAGGCAGTAAATAAACATTGAATATATATATTTAGTCAAGTTATTGGTTAGTTGATTGACATGAAAATAGTTCTGAATAGTTTTGGTCAGAGTTGGGTGTAACGCGTTACTTTGTAATAATATTAGTTTAGTCGGTAACGGAGTAGTGTAACGCGCTACTTTTATAATTCAGTAATCCCACTACAGTTACTAACATTGCCCCGACACGCGTTACTTCGTTACTTACTAAAATCACTGACAGACAAGAGGGGTTTCCGCCGCAGGTTTATATGTACGTAATCTGCGCGTGCACATCTCCACGTGCAGTGCTGCATAAACATGGCTGAGTCAGCGATAACTTTCATGGGGTGGAGGTATGCCCATTATTTTTGAGTTCGTCCGAAGAATAGACAGGAATGTGACGGTGAGGTGCAAACTGTGTCCAGGCCAGAAGCTGTTATCCACGGCTGGAAACACCACGTGGTCAAACCTCAACAAACACCTGCAAAGAACACATGCTAAGGTGAAGCTACCGCACACGCTATTTGTTGTTTGTTTATATCACGCAGTCTGTTCTTCTTCTCTGTCTTCCGGTTGTTGCCTGTTTTGAATGACGAATACACACTACCGCCGCCTGCTGGTAAGGAGAGTTATTGCCACTCACGCATCATTCGTACGTGCTCGGCTGAAGTCTTTGCGGTGTGTTCCAGTGCGACACATGGCCAAGACGCAGGAGAACACGCCGACGCAACAGCGTCAGCAGAGATATAGGCCTACTGCGCAAAATACAGGAGACAGAGAACAGCCATGCCCATAAAAACATTCAGGAGCTATCTGGATCAGTCTTATGCGACAATGGAAACTGAACTAAAGAGAACATTTGAAACTTTAGCAGTCTGCGTGATCTGCCCTAGAGAGGGGAGGGCCGGCCCTGCGAGTAAAGTAACGAGTAAAGTAACGAGTTACTTTATGTAGAGAGTAACGAAGTAGTGTAATATATTACTTTTTTTTAAAGTAATATGTAATATATTACATTTTTTTAAAGTAATATGTAATATATTACATTTTTGTAGTAACGACCCCATCTCTGGTTTTGGTGCCTCACTTATTTATTTGTCATTATATATGATAGTAGCCTACTCCTTGGGTTTTGGACTAAAAAGCTGCATTTAAATGATATGCGTTTAGCTCTTTGGTCACTGCGAGGTTGGGCACAGGGCCTCGGCCCTCGTGGTAAAAACAGCTAGGCCTACTATGTTTTGTTCTAAGGTTACAATCCCTGCTAGCTTGTGCTGCTTCATTCAGCTGTTATCTGGTTGGTTGCTTGTCAAGGTCAGCTGTAAACAAGATCAAAGATGAAATAATAAGAATCATGAGCGCAGCGCTCAATGATTATTTTGAGCGTTACGTGACATCAAGGTCAGCGCTTCCACTTAGTCAATCTGCACCTGTCTCTCTTTAGAAACAAGTACCATCAATTACTTATTACAATTTCATAGGATTACAACGGAGTGAAGTTCTCCATAATATCAGCTATGAATGCTTCATAGAATAAGTTATAAAGTTTAATACTAAGAAATACTATGTCATTGTGTGTTATTCATTGTATATGCCAATTTGAAATCCTTATTAGGGGAATGGTAAACTAAAGACTAAATAATCACCACTTGGCTTTTTTATTGATTAAATTACGCAGTGATTCAATGTTTGTTGTTCTGACTAACTGCATTTCTACTTCCAAGAAACTGCACAACAACAGGAGGGTCCCAAAAACCAAAAATATTAAAATGAAGTAAAGCGATATATGCAAATCCGGCCATGAAACATTCCACAAACCCACAGCTCATTGTCAAACATGACTTGAAAATCTCTTGACTGCCAAAATACTGGCTACTTCTCGTCCCTCTCTGCTCTTTCTCTCTACAACCTCCTTGATCTTGTGACGGGTGTATGTAATTGTCGGATGGCCCTTTGCTGCAAAACTCTCATATGTGGAGAGTCTGATCGCGCGGTGGAGGTGGGTTGAGTCCGTTCAGTCCAGTCCTCTTAGCCTTCAGGGCAGAGCCAGTAGCTCAGTGATAATTGCGTGATGGAGCCAGTGTTCATATTCATGATAACCCTGAAGCAGGCGTCTCTTCCTGAGAATAGATGTGGGGGTGTTTACAGCAAACTTGTGTACACAGCTATACAGTTTTTTTGCTGCTCGAGTTGCAAATAAAGCATTTCTGAATAATACCCACTGAAGGACAAACATGCTATTATGGTGCCTTAAAATAAGAAGTTAAAAAAAGATTTAAAAGTGATCACAACTATAAGCAGATATTTGATCAGTAGAAACAGGAAGAAGTAATCTGACCTTGTGCTTTTATAAAAGTAATTGTACTGCAATGTAAATATAAATTGATACACTAAACGTGTTTAAAGGTCCCATATCATGCTTTTCTGGTTATTACCCATCCCCTTGTGTGTTATGTAGCTTGTTATGCATGTGAACGGTCTGCAGAGTCACAAACCCTCAAAGTACACCCTGTAGCGAGTAAAACTCTAACACAGAAAATACCTGTCTATGCTGCCCCAGAACGCCTCGTTGGGGATTTCTCTTTTTCCATTGTTTACTTCTTGGGTATAGTGTCGTCTTTTGGGTATAGTTATGTAACGTAACGGCTCCGCAGATTGCTCCAAATGGACCAATCTGAGGAGCAGTTACGTTTGGACCAATCCGCGGACTTCCTCACACACACCTACCACCTAGTACCTATGTTGTAAATGTATTATCTTTTCAATTTACACACGGCATCTATTGCACGTCTGTCCGTCCTGGGAGAGGGATCCCTCCTCTGTTGCTCTCCCTGAGGTTTCTCCCATTTTTCCCTTTAAACTGTGGGTTTTCTCCGGAAGTTTTTCCTTGTACGATGTGAGGGTCTAAGGACAGAGGGTGTCGTATTGTCATACTGATATTCTGTACAAACTGTGAAGTCCCCTGAGACAAATATAACATTTGTGATATTGGGCTATATAAATAAACATTGATTGATTGACACACACACTCGGCGGGACGTTGCGAGGCTCGCTGCTGCGAGGAGCGGGACACTGAGCTGGCTCACTGGTGTGGGGCGGACGAGACAGCGAGACACCGCGGAACTCAGCCTGGGCACACACACAACCTCCCAGCCAGGCTGCGGGTGTGTGTGTGTGTGTGTGTGTGTGTGTGTGTGTGTGTGTGTGTGTGTGTGTCAGTTTCGGGCTAGGTTTAGCTGCGTCTCGCTGACGGCCACTGGGCTCACAGGGAGGGGGGTGGGGGGGTAGGAGCTCCAACAAGCCGTTTATGACAGAGAGTGAATACACATACTATACAGAGATGCTGTATGAGAAACCAATGTGAGTTTGGAAAATTGCACAATATAAATCTATTCTAGTAGACCTCAACAATGGAATTATGATCAGTAGAAATGGCCATGACATGGGACCTTTAAATAAAAATCCTACAAAAGTAACTGAAAGACAAAAGACATTTCATTTTTGGATTTTCTTGGATTTTTCAGAAAAGTGAAGAGGGAAAATGTCTCTGTGTGGGAACTGCATTGTATAAAAGGTTATACGAGTAACCATAGTTTACCAATGTACCAATTATGTGTAGGCCCAAATAATACACCAGTTTTTTATAATTAATGAGTTTACAAAAACTGAAAAATGCCCATCTAATTAATTAAATAGTTGATATTGTGTCGTGTTGACCAACTATCTGTCTCAAACTTCATAAATATTCAGCATTCAATTACGTTTATCGGACATTAAGTGAATAAAAACTAAAATATTTCCATATAAATTCAATCTTTTGAAGTATATTTAAGTGGTAGGCTACTGAAGTACTTACAGGACTTGAGTAAATGTACTTTTGACCACTGACACCAGCCTACAATGAGTTTAGCCACAATTGTCTACACATTGAGGGGTCTAGATGTTTTCAGAGAGCCCTGTTTGATCATTTTTTCTTCGTTTTTTTTTCTTCTCATCAGACGGAGGCACGTGTGAAGTAGTGGCTGCTCACCGATGCTGTAATAAGAATCGTATTGAGGAGCGGTCACAGACGGTCAAGTGTTCCTGTCTGCCGGGGAAGGTGGCGGGAACCACGAGGAACCGACCTTCATGTGTCGACGGTGAGTATTTTAGCAGACAGAAAACAATATTAGTTTTACTATAATGCTGTCCAAAGTTTGCATGGGAAGCCACATAGAAGAAAAATACATGATTCAATTGTTATCATTGAATCAACTAAACACGGAATGCTTTATACAGTCGAATCTGCTATGTTTTCTACAGACACAGAGAGTTGTTGGAATAAAAAAACATAAGTCAGCCTTGTCCCAGATAAGATTAACATTACCTGGGATAATGTCACAATCA